CCAAATTTTAATATTTTGATACGAATTTTCAGCTTCTTGGCTTGGCGGTTCTCGAGTTTGTTCTTGGCGAGGAAGTGGATTTCCATGGCGACCTGCTTGTTGACGTTGGGGTAATCGGAGGCGAGACTTGAGACGAGCAGGAGATAGCTCGTCGGAGTTGTCGGGGGCACAGGCGAGAAAGAAGCGACAGCTCTCGATGGAGGCTGTGGGAACTCACCGGATCTGCACTGCTGCAGTCGCCGAAGGCGGAGGAGGAGTCGTTGTGGATTAGATCTGATAACTTGCGCCCCATATAGGTGAAATTAGAGTGGACGGGTCCGAATCGGCTTCCATGTGAGATTCAATTTTTTGGAAAAATGTAGTGAATTTTTTGCCCCATATAGGAGTCGTTTTGAATTTTTTGTTTTTTTGTTTATTGTTTTTCCAATTTCGGAAAAATGTAGTGAGAACTTTGCATTTGTTGAAAATTTGTAGTAGAAAAATTCATATCCTTTGTTGTGATTTGTTTACTAAATTTTGGAAAAATAAGATGGAAATAAGTTGGATAGCAAAGCGTGATGTGAACGAAGGGCAATTATGAAAAAAAAAATGGGAGGTCATGGTTGAGGGCAAAATTGACAATCTACCGTTATATCATATGAGTTATCTAGTGAAACAAACAATGTGGGGACGAAATATTATTTTAACTGAACTAACAATCATATGTAACAAATGTGGGTTTAATTTTATCTGCACAGTACAATCCAACCTTTCCATATTAATTTAGTCTAATCTCATCATCCGAACCAAATGAGCTCTTAGGCCACATTTATTAAGGTAGATTAGATAAGATTGTAGCACTTATCTGGCGTTTATCGTGGGTTTGTATTCTAAGATTACGGCCCGGCCAATTTCTTTCAGCCCGCGATTTGTTCGGGCTTTATCGTGCTTTGTGGCGATAAATTGATCTTGGCAGGGGGCCATGATTCAAAAAATCCATACAGTATAATTTAAGTATATTTACCTATATATCCTTAATATTTTATTTTTGAGACTGTTGTACCCGTTCTAGTAATTTAATTTAAATTTGCTGTTGAAAAAGAAAAACATGTTATGTAAATTTGTACCCAACCACCACCGAAGTTGAGCAAGTCTGAAAGTATATCTTCAAAGTCCAAGATCCTTGTGGCATTTTTTTACTGTTAGTAAATCCCAATGACCGATTGTAGTTGAATTTGTGCAAGAATTTACTGTGCACTATTTGATTGTATGGCTTGTGCTTATCTCTCTACCCGACTTGTTCTGTGGGCTTTAGGCTTATGAATGACTCACAAGTGAGGCGGTATGTTGGAATATCACTTGTGAGTTGTCTCACATTGATTCTATAAGAAAAATGAGCCTAATGGGCTACTCCTCTCATCACCATTTGATTTTACAATGGAACCTCAGTAAGGTGCACCTAAGCCACCCTCTTATGGTGCGGTTCACCTGGTTGGACCGCACTCTCTTTCCCATGTTGTATTAGAGATTGTGACCAATTAATATTATTGTTATTCTTCTTCTTCTTTTTCTTGTTGTTGTTGTTGTTGTTGTTGTTGCTATTGTTTTTATTGTTATTATTATTATTATTATTATTATTATTATTATTATTATTATTATTATTATTATTATTATTATTATTATTATTATTATTATTATTATTATTATTATTTTAAGGAGATTTGGTTATGCTTTAGATTTATTTAGCCAATTTTTGAAAAAAAAAATGCTTAATAAGATAAAAAAAATAATAATATTAGGATAAATAATTTTCAGAAAAGAGTTGCAATAAAATTCTTGATAAGTTAGTAATTTCCTTATATTTATAGTTTGTTAGTATTATTATATAATAGTATAGTTAATAAAATATGATTACACTTAATCGATATAAAATATAACGGTAGCTTCCATATTTAAGTAAAATTTTATCATTGTTTAACATTACATTTATAGTTGGTTATTGTATAAAAAAAATGTAAAAGTATCAAAAAAAGGCATAACAACAAAATTTATTGCATCAAAAATTTTGTCTACAATTATATATCTATAGATAATAGTATGATCAAATGAGAATGAATGATAGCGAAAGAAATAAAAATGAATCGTAGATGTTGGATGTGATATATCAACTCTCAAAGTCCTATCAAAGTCTCCATCACTGGTCAAAGGGGCAATGACGTTTCTGTAAGTATGAGTACTTTTGATTTTTCACGCATGGGCATTTTTATCATTGCATAAAATCCACTGTTATGCTTAGGGGTGGGCACGGTTCGGATACTCGAATTTTTGAGGTATTTGCTAACCGAACCGAACCGAGCAAATATTCGAACTTGCTAACTGAAACTAAACCGAAAATCTCGGTTAACCGAATTTTTGGTTAACCGAAAAAAATCCTACTATTTGCGAATTAACCGAACCGAGCAAACCTAACACAAATCTGTGTTAGGTTTGCTAGGTTCGGTTCGGTTAATTCGCGAATAGCCATACCAACAAGTTAGTTTAATATATATACATATAATATATAATATATAATATAATATATATTTCATAAATTTAATATAATATAAGATTCGGTTCGGTTCGGTTAACCGGGGTAAAAAATCCTAAAAACCGTAACCGAACCGAACCGAGCAAATACTTTCTTTGAGGTATTTGTAACCGAACCGAGTACCCCGGTTAACCGAAAATTTGGTTCGATTTTGATTCGCATCTACGATTTAGCGGTTCGGTTCGATTTTTTTGCCCAGTCCTAGTTATGCTAGTGTGAATTTTCATAAGAATTAATGTGTATTTTGTCAAACATTATTGTGCATTTTGTAGTGCAGTGAAATTTTAGAAATTTGTGAACTTTTAAAGATGTATGCATTGAGAATTTTGTAATTTCGTAAAAGTATGATGATATTTGTAATATGCATATCCACACACAATATTCTGAATATTACATATCATTATTGTGCATTTATTAAATTTTTTTATAATTACAAACTTGATCAATGAACTAAATTGCATTAAAGTTGAAATTCTTGAAATTACAGATGTCTCTTAGGCTTGTATAATTTTCAA